AAGAAAACTTAGGTTTGGGAACTTCAGTTAGTAAGGAATTCTAAACAGCATGTGGGATGGGGTAGTAAATCAGTAAGAAAGTTAACAGGGTCTGTATGTAGGGTTGGTTCTCTGGCCCTGAATTTTCTGCCCCAGGTGCCTCCACCTCCAGTGCAGGGAGGGCACCTTTCCCATGGGAGTTTCATTTTGTGGTTTGGGCAGGTCTCTAAAGGTTAAAAGTATCTTCCTGGGTCCTGGATGCTTAAGTGTTTCTTCAGTGTTGTGTTTGGACAACAGACAACACCAGCCTCCTAGCTTTCTGGTAAAAAAAAGCTCGGGAACAGTCGTTTTTCTGGAGAACTGTATTGTCTCGAACTCTGGTGGTTTGTTCACTGGAGATCCCTGCATGTGCGGGGTTTCCTTCCATCGGCAGGCGGCCCCAAGGCCACTGAGGGCATGGGGGCGATCCCTGAAGTCTGTGGGCTCCTTCTGCTCTAGCATGGTGGTCAGAGAGTTCCAGACCCTGGAGTGTGTGGAAGCCCCCAGCAGAGCTCAGTCTCAGCCAGGCAGAGCATAGGAACTCTCATTTTGTCTGCCTCCCTCTGAGAGGTGATCCACCTTTGTCAGTCATTTAGTGGTTGCAAGTGCCTTAGAGTTCTGGAAACCTGAAGCTGAGCCAAATGGGGCCCAGCCTTCTCTAACCTTAAAGAGTCCCTCTCCTTCTGTTGTGTCCTTTAGCAAACAGTGTGAGGGTATGTGCTCAATCCCCCCTGCCCTCTCCATCTGTCTCCTACTCTGGTAATTGAGGCCAGCTGTGGGATCTGCTGCAATTCCCAGAGACGTGGGAGATGGGCTCCTTCCTGCTCATGGGACCCGGGGAACAGAGAGGTGCTGGCTGAAAGGGCGTGGGGTCAGCATTGGGCCCCTCCTTAGGGTCTTTATGCCTGCTCATGGAAGGACCCAAGCCCCTTCTGAGTACTGGGTGCCATTCTTCAGCTCCTCAGATGCCTTCCAGGTCCTGAAGGGGTAACTTGTGGAGGCGTCCATCTTCCCTACGTCTGTTGGCTTTCTTCCCCACAGGCCTGAGAGCTGCATATTGCCAAACCCTCGCAAGGAATCTGGCCTAATGATAAGAAATCTGGGTTAAACTACTTGTTTAATCACTGATAGAAACCAGGACTTTTTTTCTGGAATGCTTAGGGACTCCTGCTTCTAAGGAACTTCACCCCCACAGATTGGAAATTGAGAAGTACAGAGCATGATAATATTTTCTTTTATGAAACCTAAATAACTCTCTGTATTCTTGATGTTAACATATGGCAAATAAAAATGTAGTTTCAAGTATGACCTTACATTTTAGTGTCTGATAATTTAGCTTTTTGCTTTTCTTCACTGACCCTTTAAAACAAATCTTTTTGTGTTCTCTTTTAATTTCTGATATTATTATCAGTGTTAAACAACTGCACTATATGAGGTCCCATCCCTCTGATAAACCAGGGTCCTTGGGGGGCCCTGGAGTGATGCGCAAGGAGGCCTTGCAACAGGCAGACCCCTGGGAGAGTCTGTTGGCTGTGTTACTCCACGGAACACAGGAGCCCGAGAGTTCAGGTCTTGGCCCAGCTAAGAGAAGGCAGTGAGGATTTCACAACGATTTTATCAAGTCCCAACTCATCACTTCCACAGTGTCTGCCTAGTTCTTTCCAATTCCATCCCTTTCCATCAGCAAGGAGCCGAGGAATCAGGATGGGAAGTACTTGATGCTGTTTTGGCCAGAGATGTTGGTTCATTCTTAGAAGAAAAATCGCAAAGATGGGAGTAAGGAATGCTCCAGGCAGACACTTGGCCCTTGCAGGTAAGGTCCTTGTCTAGCTGGTTCAGTCCTGCAGCAGGACTGCTCAGCACCCCCACCCCACCCCCACCCCCAGGTTTCCTGCCCTGTTTCATGCCATTACATCAGCCCTTTCCCTCTTTTGTTAGCATCTACTTCTCTTTCAAATGTCACTTCCTCTTCAGGAAAACCTTCTTTGACCTCATGGTGCACAATGGACTGGCCCCTTTCCAAATTCTTAAGGCTTATAGCAATGCTTCTGTTGGGTGAGCATTGTGTATTTTCCTTGGTCCTTGTCCCCGCTGCAAAAAAGAATTGAAGGGCAAAGACATAGTAGTGAAGCAGAGTAAGTTTTATTTAAAGTTGCTTAAAGAGAGAAAACGTATGGCCACCTCAGCAAGGAGAGGTCCCCTGAAAGGTTGGAGAAAGTTTAAGATTAAAAGGCTACACACTTAGAAAGTGTGGGTGACCTCAGAGAGAGAGTGCCCCCTGAAAGGTTGAAAAGAGGGAGTTTAAAGTTAAAAGATTATGTACTTAGAAAGTGCAGATGACATCAGAGAGAGGAGTGCCCCAAAAGGCTGGGGTTCCCCCTTTTAAGGATTCCTTAGGAGTGTGACCAAGGGCTGGGGGTGCAGACTTGTTAAGTGGTCTTTGAATACTTAGAATTAACACAAGGAAGTTCCTGCTCTGATTTCTCCCTGGGATGCTGGCATCTTGGTCTGGGAGCAGATCACACAGGCTGCCTGCCCAGCCCCCAAGGTGGGCTGAGTTATTGTCTGTTTGCTAAAGAGTAAGTTAAGAATCTTACATTTTCAACTTCCTGGGTATTAAAATACAATCTTTAAGATGGAATCCTTTCTGCCTTTTACTATGTTGTTTACGGCCGGGCCTGCCTGATTAACCCAGTAGAGACATGGGGAATATTCAAACATTGCAGGGGCCAAGTTGCTCCTGGCTTTTTGAGCTTTAATTGATTAAGTTTGGTTCTTTTTAGTGGACTTTCTGGCCTTTTTCTCTTTCCACCTCGCTCATATCTACTTTCCTGCCTAACACTTCTCAAACTTCAAAATACATCCAGATCACCTGTTGGTCTTGTTAAAATGCAGGTTCTGATGTGGCTGGTTTGGGGGGAGGCCTGGGATGCTGCAGTTCTAACAAGCTCCCTGGTGCTACCAATGCTGCTGGTCCAGAGAATCTCACTCTGATTAATAACAGACAGATGCTAGGGCTCTTGAAAGCAGCAGTTTACCGTCATCTGAAGGGAGAACGGGAAGAGCCACTGATGAGCAGACCTCCTTACACCCTTTTTAGGAAGAAAAGCATTTAATTGGAATGGAAGAGAAGGAAGAGCCACCTGAGGGGAGGTGGTTCAGGCCAGGAGGAGGATGAGGAGGGGAGGCCGGGCAGAGAAGAGGCAAGTCTGATCATGTCCGAGCTCGAAGGCCAGGCAGGCTTGGTGATATTTAGAGCCCAAAGGAGAGAGCAGCTGGGCAGCTGAATACTTCGCAGAGTTTGGAAGGGTTAAATGCCTCAAGGAGAGGCATCATTGAGCTGGGAAAGATGAAACCAAGTGCAAGAAAGGAATCAGATGAATCTGACACAGAGGCTAAAGAAAAACATGATAAAGGAGAGGAAGAGGGAGGTGCCCCTGTCCTTGACCACATACAGCGGTCTGGGGTTTCATTTCTTCCTCATTTCACTGGGGCTCTGTTTACTACTCCTTTTTCCTTCTCTCTTGCCAGCCAAAGCAACCCACTTTTCATCTCAAAAGCTGTTGTGGCAGATTGAATCAGTTCCGGGGAAAGAGTGGGTTGGCTGTTTCACCTCTTCACTGTGTATAAATATGCAAACATGCCCAGCCGCAGTTAGGAGGGCAGCCTGCTTTGTTTTTCAGGTCTTTTATCTTGGCAGGCATTTTCTGCTTGGCTGAATGTGGCTTTGAAATCTTGGAGCCATGTAGTTGAATCTTGATAGTTGAATGTGGGATCATGTTAGGCACCGTTTCTCTGAAGGGTGGTAGCTTAAAAACAGCTAGATCCCATAATACACATGATAAGCCTGGTCTTTGTTTTATCCTGTGGCATGTCCAGTTGTGGTGGTGCTATAATTGGGTTCTGTGGAAGGTGCACAGCAGCTCAGAGCTGCATACATGGAACAGTAACGGGGATCAGAGACCAGATCGAGTCTTTCTCTAAGAGAACCATCTATAGCAATTCTGTCTGTTCTCTTCAAAGAGAACCACAGCGAATCAGAGTTAAATGAGAGTCCCAGTACTTCAAATAATTTCTGAAGCACACGTGACAACATATTTCATAGAGTATTCTTCGTTATTAAAGTTCTCTGTGTGCTATCAGTGATCCTTTGAAGTTGGGAACCAATTTCACCTCCTGCAACAATTATATAGTACAAAAAAACAGCTCCTTAAGAATATTTTACAACTGTATTTTCACAAATGCCATACCACACTGTGACACGCTTTGTTTTACTTACTCATTTAAGGTTAGTTTGAACTTTCTTTTCTGTCTCAGTAAGAAGGCACTCTTGCAGTCGTTCTCCATGAAAGTCATTTATCCAGGAAGACAAGTCAACTCAACATTAGCTCTAGATTGCATCTATACACACAACTGGAAAAGAGGCAAAATGATTTATTGAAATACCTATTGATAATTTTATTTATTTTGAAGGGTGAATTCATTCATGTGGCTCTTAGATCTGTTTCTTTTAGGAAATTAGGATTCATAGAGTCACAGAACTTTTAAATCTAGAAGGGAATTTGGAAGTCATCCAAGCCAACACCTATGATCTTGGGATGAGGAGGTTGAGGGCAGTGTGGTACCCTGGGTGCAGGACTGAGGGAGGTGTTTGCTCTCAGCTGCCAATTGCTCCTGCTCTTGATGGGCTGAAAGCACATGCCTCCTTCAGTGTGCGCTCTGGGCATCCCGCCTCCCTCACCCTTGTCGTGATCCTGAAGCTGAGGCCAGGCGAGGTGAGATGCTTTGCCCAGGCTACCTGTCGAGTTGACTCGATGCTGTTCCTCTTATCCCATGCCTTCTTGATTGAAAATGTCATGCTTAAAGGAGAGGATTAGGTAGGCTTCTGTTTCCAAATAGTCTTCTAAACAAGAATATTGTTTCATTTGTAGTAATGCTATTTCTTTCTATCACTTGATGAACTGTTAATTACATTCCACAAGGAATTTGATGACCTGACTTCAAAGAACCTGCCTGAGTCTCAGCACATTTCTTCCCTGGACCTTGGCATGCTTGAATCAAGTGTAGAGGACACCATGGCTGACCTTGGAGATCATGTTATGAGTCTGTGTCAGAGTTCACAAAGGTGCTCTCAGCTGACATCTGGCTGAGGGAAGCCTTGGAACATATGTGACTATCTGTCAGTTATCCAGAGCCGAGCGGTGACCAGGATGAAAGGTGGAGAAGCCAAGGGGTTTGTCTCGCCTCTCCTTTCTTCTTTGCAATAGTGAACATGAGTTGGAAGCTCGTACCAGGTAAGCACCCTCTTATGCATAAAATAGCATCATCATTACCTGGCTTTGAAACAGCGTAGGAGTATGATGCTCTGAAGTACTATGTCCCTCTTCTGTGAGTGATTTCCCGGCCCTCAGAAATTAAAGTGAAGTAATGAAGTCAGGCTTTAGAAAATCTGCTGTATGGATGTGTAGTCATTGCTACAAAAAGGCTCAGAGCTGTCACCCAAATGGGAGAGATACATCATATCCTAATAGTTAAAAACAGGAGTTTTGGAGTAAAAAAGCCCCTGACAACTTAATGTTTCTAGGCCTTGGTTTGTTTATCCACAAGACCAGAACATTACCTCCTATAAAAGTTGTCAAAAGCAAAAGACACTAGGCATGTGGCATGCTCTTAGCTCAGTACCAGGAGCATAGGAGGGGGCGAAGAGGTGGAGGCAGTTTATGACTATGGGCGGGGCAGGGGCACGAACTAGGGACCTTCTCAGTCCTCTACTATCTTCCCCAGTGCCTAAGACATAGTGTCAGGGATATTATAGGCACTCAGTAAGTATTTCTTGAGTGAATGAATAAGTGAATGAATAAATGAGTGGATGGTGTGTAGGTCTAGACCTCTAAGAAACAGATGTCAAGATGAGACTAAAAGTGCGAGGGATGAGGAGAAATGTCTATATGAAAGGAATTAGGCAAGAAACTGGAAAAGGCTTAAAGAACTATCAGAGCATGACTCAAGTCTTATTCCAAGTAAAAAGAAGGGATTTCAATGGATCTGACTGCCTGCTAGGCAGACAGCAGCCAAGATACCAGGAAGCCCTTAAGCAGAGCCCACCGTCAGAGGCCTGCCTTAGCTTCCATGCTGCAGTCCTACGATGGCCCACAGGGAGACACCACAGCTGCGAGAGAATGCAGGGGTGGGCTTCACAACAGAGCAGTCAGGGCCCTCGGCTTGTGACACTCCTTGTAGAGGGAAGTCTTCAAGGTAGATATGCACGGTTGCACATGGTATACCAGCTCTCTTTGCCAGTAGTTGTGTTCTCTTTACAAACTAAGAATGAAGATAGTGAAACTTGGGTTGGCTGGTCATCTCAGCCCAAATTTGCATCTGACATCTACCTGATAGAGCCGTTAGGGCTGCACTGCCTCCTCCAGCTGAGTGGAGACTAGCACCTGACTCTTTTAGGTTGGTGTTTCCCAACTTTTAAAATGGTGTTGTGGAAGCCATCTGGTAACAGGTGTTACTGACAAATACATCTATCAGATGGATTTACATCTTAGACCTTTTTCAGGTATTTCTTTAATCTATTATTACTATTTTCCAAAGGTAATGTTCGGAAGCATGGAAATATCTCATGGGCCCAAGGATATAAAACTGAGAGTTAGACCACTGAGCAGCACCTACTGTGCATGGCTTGTGCTTTCTGGAGGGCAGAGCCATTGCTGTATACAAAAAGGAGGCCCAGGACAGCCTACTTTGCAGGCGGCTGAGGATCAGGAGGTCTGGGCCCACCCAGCCTCCAAGTTTCAAGTAGAAAAAGCACTTACTACTCATTTCACAGATGAGAAACTAGACATTAAGTGATTTGCTCGAAGACTTGAAAACCCCTCCCTTCTAGTGCAGTCATTTACCCCAAGGTGTATATATTTGGAGGTGATGTGTAAGAGCAATAGATATGCCAGAGGCAGACAAACATATCAAGTGAATCAGACTTTCAAAAGGCAGAGAGTCTTTATCTTTATGCTAATGTTTATGAACTGTAGTAGCCAAGTTATTCCTGCACTGGCCCTGATCACTGGTTCTAGCGCTACCAGGAGGCTCAAGCTGGCACCCTCCTTACATCTCCCCTTTTCTTGTGTCACAGAGTTCCAGTACAGTAGGCCACGTATTGATTACCAGATGAACTGGAAATGGGCAAATCCACTGCTTTGACCACCTTGCTCCTGCAATAAGGGAACACTACTTAGATCTCCATCAGAAGCTATAAGGTCTAAAAACACTCATTGGTTGGGCCAAATGCCTTATAGAATACTTGAAGCATTTTCCTTATTTTTCTCTCTGTAAATTCGTATTTTCTAAATTCTATTCTTTCTTAAATACCGATTTAAAAAGACAGTCTTAGAACTATGAAAATAGAACCTTAAGGTTGATAATTAATTAGAATGATGGGCAACTACAAGATAATTAGTGATCACATACCTTAGTCATGAACTTTTGAGACATGAGGCTTTAGTTTGTTGATGAACTCTGAAGTAATTATTTTTCCCATTTTTGCCTTTTCAAAGATTTGACTCTAAACATTCAGTAAAAGAAGAAAAGAGAAAACTTGTGTTTATTTTTTATCTAGCATGTATATGTAAAATAAAATTACACAGTCATCCTTTTTAAGCTCCTACTCCGAATGTTTAATCAGTCTTTGATGTTGAATTGAATAATTCCCTCTGGGATGTGAGGAGTTAGTTGCAGAGAAAGAAGACAGGGTAGGACATTATTTATATTTGATACGCATTTAATGGACTACAGTGACTTTAATTTAGCCAAGGTCATGGATAGCCTTCTAATCAAATGAGAGCACAACTGGAACGTTAAAGAAATTGCTATAGTTAACCCCTTATATGTAACACTAATGATTTCTTGCACACTCATTTTTGCCGGGTGGCTGAGTTTCAGAAGAGTGTTTCTTGCAAAGTTGGAATAGCCTGAGACTTGAGCATGGCTCTCAATCCAGCTCTTCACATGCAAAATCTGCCTTGGTGTAGGCCTTGGCTGCCTGCCCACAGCTGCCCAGTCGTCACTGTCAGCCACTTCCTGTATTCAGAGAAAGCTCTGACCTCGAGGGGGTGTACTTTTTTGCCCGTCGGAAGTCCACATGCCCTTTTCAGTTGTAGGCTGCACTATGGCTTATGGTGTCATATCTTCCCTTTAAATGTCCAAGTGCAGGTAACGTGATTTGAACACTGTTAGACAATGATATATATATTTATTGTTTTAATTTAAAAAGAAAATGTTTACTGACTCTTCAGTTCTACTTGTAGATAGTTACCTAAGAGAAATGAAAGCAAGTCTATGAGATCTGTATATAAATGTTCTTAGCAGTTTTATTCATAGTACCAAAATTAGAAATCAACTGTCAATCAACAGGTGAATGGATAAACAAACCTGTAGTTTATTCATGGCATGTAATACTACCTGGCAATGAAAAAGAGCAAACTAGCAATACACAAAATAATGTGGATGAGTATCAAAAACATGCTGAGTGAAAGAAGCCACAAGCAAGAGTTCCTATTGAGTGATCCATTTTTATGCAGTTCTAGCACGAGAAGTGCTTCCCTGTAGGGATAGAAGTGAGGCCAGTAGTTGCCTGTGGGTCATGGTGTTGGGAATTGACTCCAGAAGGGCATAGGGAGCCTTTTGTGGTGATGGAAAAGTTCTATGTCTTGATTGTGGTGAAGATTACTGAGATGTATGTATCTGTCACAACTCATTGAACTCTATTCTCTAAATGAGTTCATCTTATTACCTGTAATTTATACCTCATTAAAACCAATAAATAAAAAAACATTGACAAGATATCCAGAAAAGAGAGTGAAAGGGGAAACATGAGCAGTGCCCATCAGTCTATGTTTCAGCCAATGACTAGGTGAGAGAGATTTGGGTGAAGTTGCAGAGGCAGGAAACAAATGGGGGAATTTCTGGATACTGCTTAGCACCCAAAGTCCTTAGTTCAGAAAACAGCCATGGGGTATTCTTCCAATGTCAACTGAACAATGTATCTTTCTCAAAGAGTGTTAACAGAGATTGAGGACTTCTCTCAGGAGGAAAGTTGGCTAATCAAACACAAGGGACTAGTTTAGACCTTCTCTTCAGTCTTTGCAGCTGGAGGGACCGCACTGGTGCAGCAGGGAGCCCATACCAGTAGGTCTGCCCTCTGTGGCAGCCCGAGCAAAACAGAACAAAAATAGCTGGGACTCCAAAATCCAGCCCAAAATAGAGAAGCTGTTGGGGCTGCCTGGCTAGTTAACTCCAAAAAGACAACCAAGTGCCAAGGTCACTGCCCTATTCTCAGGTGCCCCTCACTTTCACAGTGAACAGTACTGTGATCCCAGCATCCATACCATAGGTTGCATATGAGGTTGCATATATATAGGATAGGTTAAATCTGCCAGAAATGGTATGGGCTTCATTATAACATATTAAGTTTCTTGTCACTGAAGTTGTCTAAACAGAAAGTTTGTAGGAATGTGAAACCTATTACTTTTAATATTTCACCTGATACTAAGAATCTGTGATTCTATTCTTGTCCAGATAGATGTGGATGTCTTAAAGACTTGATTTATAAACAATGAATTGATGGTGGTTGTATTTCATATAGGTCACATATTACACTGAAATACATTTGTGTTGCATGAAAATATTTCCACCTGACTCTCATGTTTAATCCCAGAAATAAAGGCTCTTGTATCCACTCTACTATCTAGAGGATTATTTCACTGAGTGAAGACATGCTGATATTCCACCCTGAGGCATATTTAATAATTTGAATATTCCTTCCATATGACAAACTGGGTAGGTAACTCTAGTTGAAATTTAAGAGATTTTATTCAATTTGAAAAATTAAAGTGGATGCAGAATAACAAGTGCCCAACCAGCCACTTAGCTAATGTCCTAAGCAGGCAGAGTAGAAATAAGAGTAAAATCAGTTTCCAAGACCATCAGTTATTCATAAAGAAGATCAGTACACACAGACTTCTCAAAATGAGTTTCTCACCTGGGAAGGCTGTTTGTGATGCCATGGCCCATCTCTTAGCTAAATATAAATTATACAGTGGTTTTTAAACTAAGGACCTTGCTGGTAGGGCAGAGAGCTTTCTTAAGTCTCCTTGCTTGACCTATTATGGCTCATGTTTGTAAATAAATCAGTTAAGCAAAAAATTAAATAAACATCAATCATGGCTTTAAGGTAGGATAGAATACAAAATATAATAGACTAAACCCTTGTATAATATGTATTCAGACAGCATTTTGGACATACCATAGTATGGTTTTCCTTTAGTTGATGAAATTATTTTCTGTGCATGCAAGCTGTGTTCAGGGTTGATGCCCCTACCACTTAGAGAACGCTTTTATGATGTCCAAAGAAACTAAGCTGCTGTAGGAAACTAATACAGCTGTATTGGATTGTGTCTGCTTCCAGTTAAATAACCATCTTTGCTTCATATACTAACTTTTTGCTGAAGAGATTGAAATATTTTACTTTGGTGGCTAGGCCAGACTTTAGGTATTTGTGATAGGCATTTAAATTTGTATCCTCTGATCTTTATAAAGGGATTTTCTGTTCTGTTTTATGGTGGACAGGACCATGTCAGTACCAGCCACATCCTAAATTCACTTGTCAAAGTCTTGCGTTCTCTGAAGTGAAACAGCACATCTCCCAGAAACAAACAATCTTTGTGGTAGGAAACTATGATAGCAGTATCTAATATCTCTTATAAAAATTCACAACTAATGGCACTTTCCATTGACTTCCCTTCTAAAAAAATTTCAAAATAGAAAAATAGGAAACCTACAGAAAGATCCAAAATGATCATCACATCTCATAGTATGCCTACGTATGTGCAGTATAATGAGTCAGACTTATTCTAAAACTGTCAGTTTCTCCACCTTTGATGCTCAAATCATGTTTGCGACATTGTCAGCATTTTCATCTCACTGGTTAGACTTGTCTCTGAGCTTGCACAATAGGCTCTTTGTAGATTCATCTTGCTATTCTGTGCACTGGTGTCCACAGGTAAGAACACTTTTTTATGAGTGTGGAATGTAACTCTAAATATCCAGCTTCATAACTGACCTTGATCAATCTAAGAAAAATTAATAAACCCAACTCCTCCCTCCGGCTTAATTCCACATGGCCTGTTTTCCTGCTTCATATAGCTTAGAATTAAATGAACTCCCTCCCTCTGCCCTCTACCTCCTCACAGCCCTATTTTAAGGTATAATCACTTGAAAATTTGAATAAGCAGTTGCTTATGAATATATGGTCTTTAGTTATGTATTTGACCTCCTCTTATTTGTGAGATTACACATTTTGAACAAGAGTAACCTTTGTGTGTTCATAGAGCCCTAGATGAGAAATTTTACTGGTGTACCCCAGAGGGCTAGAGAGTGACTACTGGTTAAGAAAAACAGGTTTTGGAAATCAAAAAAAATGTTTCCCTGGCCCCATCAGCTCTGTGTCATAGATGTTGAGAGTGGATCAGCGCCGTGACTGTGCCAGCATGTTCACAGGCCATATGCTCACTCGCTGCTGTTCATTGGAGCCATCTTGATATCATTTCCTACCTCACCTCTTACTTTTTACTCTCAGTAAATCATACTCCAAAAATTTCTCAGGTCAAAATCTCACCCAAAAGGCATCATGGTAAAAGTATCTGTTTCTCACTGTATTGACAATATTCACTGACCCAGAGCCAATAGCACCCTGGAGAAGCACTTACAGTGTAGGACTGTGCCCCAGCGTAGGAGCTGAGAGCCCACAAGCCAGGCCCTTGTTACTCAAAGCATGGCCTGAGGACTGGCATCACTACTATGCTAAGAACTTGTTAGAAATGCAGAATCGTAGGCCCACCTAGACTTACTGGATTAGGAGATGCAAAATCCTGGTGATAAGATATGCACATTAAAGTTTAAGAAACACTGAGTTACCCTATAAGCTTTGTGAGAGTATGTGCCACACCTGCGCTGTTCATTTTATTCCCACCTGCTGACATAGTGACTGGCTCTGAGCTGATGCTGGGTAAATGTTGTTGAATAAATGAATGAATTCTGGGGGAAATTGTCATAAACATCATACATCTCTTGCAAAGATTAATTCAGTTTGGGAAACAATAGAATAACAAGTTATGAGAAGAGGCTAATTTGTGGGTGTTAGTGTTCACCAATAATTTGTTTTCTTTCTTCCTAAAGGAGATGGTGATCTAATTTTACCAGATGGATACTGGAAAGATGAAAATAAAGGAATGGTTACAGAGGCATGACAATAGAAGTCTGACATGCATGCTTCTTGAGTACCCCTAGCCATTGCTTTTTCCTTTAAGAACACCATTATATTTAAATATTTTGGATCTGTCTTCTTGAAGAGGATTAAGGATGGAGGCATGTGAGGTGAGACAGAGGACTCCTTCCAAAACATATAATACGAAAATATAGTTAATACAATTAATCCTGAAAGAGCAACAGGAAAGAAGGCTGTACCAGCCTGCATACACCTGGAGAAAAGAACAAACGTCACAGAGCAGGGTAATGTACCAAAGCCATTATCCGGCGGGACCCAAGCCCTTCCCCAACCCCAGCTCACCTGCGGAAGAGAAACAGAGCAAGAAGGTGGTGGAAGCCTAGGAGATCTGCTTTGGGAACACGAACCTACTTTGCATGGTGCTCTGGTGATTAGTGGGGTTGGAAAGCTTAGACAGGCAGAATACTTGGAGAGACTGAGATTCCAGCTGTTTGTGGAAAACAGGGATCCACATCTGGCTGCTCTGGGACAAAAGAAAGGAGGGCAATCTGAGAGACTTCCTAACAGCAAGAGAGCTACTCAGGAGAAAGGATAAGTGGACAAAATTGTCTGGGCACACTGCACAGCAAGTTGGGAACTTTCAAGAGCTTCAGGTGCTCAATCCACCTGGATGGCTGCTCAGCTCTGAGGCTATCCACCGTGATATGCACCCTGCTGCACCTTCCTCCTGGCCTGCCGGCACCAGCTCAAAAACTGGTAGTTTCTGCGCTACTGTGAGGCCAGCCAGAGGGAGGCCCCGCCTACAGCAGCTACAAAGAAAAGCACAGAGGCTTACACCTGTGTGCTCGGTCTACTGGTTCTGACAGTGGAAATAGGAACAGCAGCCAAGAAACAGGAAACAGCTCCCTCCTCCCACCAAGTGCCAGCCTTGCTCCCCTGCAACCCCCGACATTGCTCCAGGGGCTGAGCAGCCCCAGAGAGTAGAGCTTCTGGGCACTAAAGGGTGTCACGTACAAATATGAAATGTCAGAGGAACCTGGTTCAAACCAAATTCCAACAGACACCAGAAAAAGTAAAAAGTGAAACTCAAGTCATCAATCTTCCTGAAAGAGAGTTCAAAATAAAAATCATAAACATGCTCATAGAGGAACAGAAAAATATTCAAGAAATCAGGGATGAATTAAGGGTGGAGATTCAATCACTGAGAAATTCTATATCTGAAATGAAACATACAATGGAGGGATTTAAAAGCAGATTAGATGTAGTAGAGGAGATGGTAAATGAAATAGAAATTATAAAAGAGGAATACAAAGAAGCTGAGGCACAGAGAGAAGGAAGGATCTCTAGAAATGAAAGAATATTGATAAAACTGTGTAACCAATCCAAATGGAACAATATTTGCATTATACGGGTACCAGAAAAAGAAGGGAGAAAAGAGGGATAGAAAGTGTATTTGAGGAAGTAATTGCTGAAAACTTCCCCAAACTGGGGAAGGAGATAGTCTCTCAGGCCATGGAGGTGCACAGATCTCCCAACACAAGGAACCCAAGGAAGACATCAAAACATATAATAATTAAAATGGCAAAGATCAAGGATAAGGACAGACTATTAAAATCAGCTAGAGAGAGAAAAAAGACCACATACAAAGGAAAACCCATCAGGCTATCATCAGACTTCTCAACAGAAACCTTAAAGGCCAGAAGGAAGTGGCATATATTTAATGCAATGAAGCAGAAGGGCCTTGAACCAAGAATACTCTATCCGGCAAAATTATCATTTAAATTTGAAGGAGGGATTAAACAGTTTCAAGATAAGCAAAAGCTGAGAGAATTTACCTCCCACAGACCATCTCTACATTGTATTTTGGAGGGACTGCTATAGATGGAAGTGTTCCTAAGGCTAAATAGCTGTCATCAGAGGGAATAAAACACACAGTAAAGAAAGTAGAACAATTCATTACTAAGTAGATACAAAATCAAATCAACCACCCCCAAAGTCACTCAAGGGATAAAGAGGGCAGAATATGATACCTAATATATAAAGAATGGAGGAGGAAAAAAAAAGAACCTTTACGTTGTATTCATAATAGCATACAAAGTGATTTAAATTAGACTGTTAGATAGTAAGGGAAGTACCCTTGAATCTTTGGTAACTGCAAATCTAAAGCCTGCGATATCAATAAGCACATTCCTATTGATAATCACCCAAAATGTAAATGGTCTGAATGCACCAATCAAATGACATAAAGTCATTGAACGGTTAAAAAACAAGACCCATCTATATGCTGCCTACAAGAGACTCACTTCAAACCCAAAGACATCCACAGACTAAAATGGAAGGGAGGAAAAAAAGATATTTCATGCAACTAATAGGGAGAAAAAAGCAGGACTTGCAGCACATCTATCAGACAAAATAGACTTCAAAGCAAAGAAAGTCACAAGAGACAAAGAAGGACATAACATAATTATAAAGGGGTCAGTCCAACCATCATAAATAATCTATGCACCCAACACAGGAGCATCTATGGATGTGAAACAAATACTAATAGAATTAAAGGGGGAAATAGAATGCAATGCATTCATTTTAGGAGACGTCAGCACACCACTCACTCCAAAAGACAGATTAAGCAGACAGAAAATAAGTAAGGACAGAGAGGCACTGAACAACACATTAGAACAGACGGACCTAAGGGACATCTACAGAACTCTCCAACCAAAAGCAACAGGATACACATTCTTCTCAAGTGCACATGGAACATTTTCAAAAATAGATCATATACTAGGCCAAAAATAGAGTCTCAGTAAATTCTAAAAGATTGAAATTGTACCAACCAGCTTCTCAGACCACAAAGGTATAAAACTAGAAATAAATTACTCAAAGAAAACAAAAAAGCCCTCAAACATATGGAGGCTTAACAAGATGCTCCTAAATAACCAATGGGTCAATAACCAAATAAAAACAGATCAAGCAACTTATGGAGACAAATTACAACAATAATTCAACACCAAAAAATCCATGGGATGTAGCAA